TAGATACAGAAGACTGTTCCAGGCTTGATATTATACAAAGCAAAGCATGAGGCAGAGAACACAGGATGCCAAGAGCAGAGCATGAGAATTAGAAACTAGTTCTTTTAAAAAATAAAATCTGACGTAATTTAGAATCCAGGAGGAGCCATGGGATTCTTTAGTAGATAGCACAAATGGTATATTGCATAATCTGTGGCAGGGTCACGGAGATACAGATTCCTGTTTAATTAATCTCCAAGACAAGTAAGAAAATAGACACCTCATTCACAGTGTTTTCTTCTTCCTCACACACAACTGTGTAGTCTGATCACAGTAAGTTCAGCTGTTATCCAGCTTCTTCTTAAAACAGAGATAAAAACTGGAATTAGCACAAAATGAATCCAGGAAATGGAAGATTCCCTGATTTTTTAAAATAAGCTGCGGGGCTGTTGGGGGTGGGGAAGCTAAAGGGACAAAAATTCCAGGGGACTCAGTCTGGGGGTAAATGCAATCTAGATGTATTGGATGTTTGGGTTGGATCTAGGTTGTACGAGAGTAACCTCAGGGGGAATCTTCATCTGGGGGTCCTGTGTTGGTTCCTGGAAGTCCTGGTTGAATTTATTTGCAGATTGTCTGGTCCTCATATAACTCTCTCTCAAGAGAGAAATCCTGATTAGGAAGACTTATTTTACCAGCCATTAAAACACCTGAAGTGCCCCACCCTTTACGTTGGACTATCCTAAATAGGCCCAGATGGAAAGCCATTCCTAGCTGCAGCCCTGACTCTTTCCATGCTATCATTTCTATGTATTCAGAAGGTAACATATTAGAATGTCCCTGACTGACAATTTCCTATACAAATTAATAATTATATGTATGGCATTGTGTGTAGAGTAACCAGGAGTTCCTAAGATTGTCTGGTAGCCAGAAGTTCTAGCTCTTTAGTGTTATGCACCACTAGGTGGTGAGCTAGACTTGTTTTTAAGGCAAGAGACATTTCAGAGGTGGTTTGCCATTGCCTCCTTCTGTGTCACGATGACCCTGGTATTCCTTGGATGTCGCCCTTCCAAATAGTAGCCAGGGCCAACCCTGCTTATCTTCCAAGATCTGACAGGATCGGCCTAGCCTGGGCTATCCAGGTCAGGGCCCCTATACAAATTGTTATACCTGAACAACTGTCAGGGATGAAAGCAACTTAAATTTCTTACTGACACTGTCTCTCATAATGGGCTCAAAGCAAAAGATGGGAGGTACCCCGTTTACCTCTTTCTTACTGATATTCTGTGCCACCTTGTTCCAGCTGACTGTTCCTGCTGACAAATATAAAGGAATTTGGTCATTCAGAAACATCTGCTTCATCCACTATGATAAAGGCAAACCCTGATAAATTAGTTCTAAAACCAGAAGAGAAAACACAGGCTTGAGAGGCCGGAGGTCTTTTATTTTAGGGACTGTCTGTTCCTCCCAAATATCAGTTCTGACTCCAGAAGTGTATAATTTTGAAGAATTTCAAATCTCAACCTATACTTGCCATTTATTTCTTATGGTTACTAGAGCAACAATCCTAATATTTTGCTGGCATTCTTAGGCATATTTTAAGGATACGTAAACTGGCCCAGGCTAGCCCGATCTTGGAAACTAAGCAGCCTTGGCCCTGGTTGGCACTTGGATGGGAGACCACCAATGAAGTCCAGGGCCGCTATGTAGAGGAAGGCAATGGCAAACCACCTCTGCACGTCTCTTGCCTTGAAAAACCTATGGGGTTGCCATAAGTCAGCTGTGACTTAATGGCACTTTCCACCACCAACCTCGAGTATTAAGCATACATTCAGAACACAACGAGTACACGTAGTGAGAGAATAGGTACAGTTTGTGATCACAGATATATACTACCCTCTATCCTTCTTCTCGGGGATGTGGGGTGGTATGGTGTATCGCCCAGTGTTGTCAGATCTCGGAAGTAAATCAGAGTCGATACTTGGATGGGAGACTGCAAAGGAAGACTCGGCAGAGGAAGGCACTGGCAAACTACTACTGGTTCTCATTTGCCCTGAAAGCCCATTTCTGGGGTTGCCATAAGCTGGTTGTGAACTGACGGCACTTACGTGCGCGCCCTCCTTCTCAGTGGGGCTGCATGGCCGGAAAATAGAAATGCAAAGCAGAACATGCTTGCCAGAAGAGAATTTTGTGAGAGGCCTGTACAAGGGCTTTGGTACAGACATTCCCTTATTCCATCACAAACAACAACATTATCACTCATTTTACTGCCTCGGAGCCAGCCCAGCCGCAAGATTATGCTGTGCTGTGTACACAGCAAGCACTAAGGATATACAGCAGAGTTCAGTTCCATAGGAGTAGCTGTCTAGTGCAACAAAACCAAATCACACAATCTTCTGGAATCTTAAAGACTAACATGCTTTTATCCTAGCATAAACTTTCATGGACTAACTTCATCTACGATCCTAGTTCGGTGGTCTTAGAAGCAAGTGGTAAAGGCTCTCTGCCATTGCAAACAAATATCTCTTCAGGGCAACTTCCATCATCCAGGTACAAAAGGTTCTGCCAGATACACAATTCATTCTTTTGAGATGTTATTCCTACATGCCAGTTTTCTCCCCAATGTTCATTCAAGGGGAGACTGTGTTTCAGCCCCACCCCTTTGATTTTCATGCCCACTAGGCTACACATAAATGTCTTCATCCACACTGAACACTGCTTTTAGATTCCTCACTCCCATCCTTTTTCTGTAGAATCCCATGTTGTTGAGATACAAATCTAGACTCGTTTCTAACAAATGGAGAAGTATGAACAGGCAGGACATTATAATGCCAGCAAGGAAAGGCAGGAAATCTTAGAATAGGCGCTCAAAACGAGAGTTTCTTTGTATTATAACGGAAACAGTAAAAAACCCACCACCATGAACATCTTAAGCCAGAAAATTCCAGCACACTCTAACCACCAATTCCTTTGGGTTCCTTTAAAGAATGACAAGCTATTCCTTTGTTAGGCATATCATAGCACATATAGCATCAGTACCCAGGAAAGGTCCATCTAAATATTCATTCTCCATTATGCCTGTCTTCTTCCTCCCAAGTCATAAGCACGCTCGCATTTCTAACTTTCCTACAGACTTTACCAATTCAACAATATAAACTTGCTAGCAAAAAACATCCTGCAGATTTGCTGTGATTTAGCTTGTTAAGCATTACCTATTGGTTAACATAGAAAGAGCAAGGCACTGGGACTTACATGTGTCTGAAAGGAGGGTGCCATTTATAGATTCTGGAATGTGTAAGTGCTTTTCTCCTTCCTTGGTACTTCCAGATTGCATACCACTGTTACCCTGAGCTGAGTAAATCTCTGCTCAATTCACAGATTGAACCTACTGAATTATTTGTTTGCTGGGTATACATGTCAAAGGCACAAATCCCTTTGTGTCATCAAAAGACTGCTTTTTATCATATGCTGATAATAGCTCTAGTTCTTCTGAAGTACAAATCCACTGGAATTTTTCTTCCTGCATTTAACAGTTTAACTGAAAGTGGGCACTTGGACCTTGCTGGATTCTGCCCTGTCCCCCTGAAACAGTGTCTCAGCCTCTCCTCAATACCTGATTAGGTTGAATGATGAGGGGGAAGGTATTATATATCTATTCAGAGGCATTCATTGTATTTTTATTTTTTTAGGGTCCCCAATTGAGCCCTAGCTTTGGAAATAGGACACGAGCTGATGGCCAGATAAATAAATGATAGTTTTGGAAGATCTAATCAACTATTTAACATCTGCCCACACCCCTCCATCTAGTTACCCATTTTCCATAACCCCATTCCATTTCCTACTCAGCACTTGCTCCCTTTCGACTCTCTGCCACATTTAGAAAGTCTTGCTTAAAATCATATCATATACACCGTACCTGCCTTTTCCCTTGGCTCACACTATGACAAAATCAGGGCAAATATTGAACTTTCAGTTAAGCAACAAGCACATCACTCACAACAACTGTACTCAACCTAAGCCTAACACTGTGTAAATAGGATCCCTCAAGACTTCTGTAGACCTAACATTAGTGGGATTGTTAATCCTTTAACATACACACTGCCTTCTGTCATCTTGCATGAGAATTCCCCTCTTTTATACCAAAAAAATGTAACAGTTATGTGACAGGAAGAAATTAGACATGTAAAACCTCCCCCATAGCTGCAACACCATGCTAGGACAGTTGTATCCTGTTGAATTTCTGCCAGGTTGTGCAGTCATTAAATGCCCTCTGAGGGACTGAAAAACACACACGCATGAGCCCTCTTTTCCATGTATGGGTTACCTTTTCCTGGTAAAGAATAACCCCCCCCCCACACACAAATCTTGCCTAAAGTATTTGTCTTAATGATTTTACAGTGCAAGTTGTATACAGTGTTGGTGATGTGTGTGTGTGAGAGAGAAAGAGACAGAGAGAGAGAGAGATATTTTCTAAAAAAAGAAATCTACAGAAAAACAAAAATTTGTCCAGCTCTGGAACACCAAACTGGCTGATCAACAACTGGTGCCAGGTTCCAGCAGTACGACGACAAGGGAGAGCACATTGCAATGTTGAGAGGATATAAACATGCATGCAGAACCACCACCGTACCCCTCATCTGCCAGCTGCCTACCTGCATGAGACACCCTACGCCTCATTTAACCCTATGCCTCTGGTTAATCTATAAGTTAGGAAAACAAAGAAAAGAAAGCACTTCCAACAGCTGGGAACACAAATAAATTAATTCTACAAACCTCATTAGTGCTGGGTCTGATTCAAAGTCCAAATGCTGTGCAACAATCCAAATAACAGTCACCCACACACCAAGCCAAGAAATTCCTCCAGAGGCTGCGGGGGGTGAGGGGGGGGACTTCACTACTTCATTGCCATTTCAGTCGTTTCCCCCCCCCCCCCCCCCGATTCCCAGCCTGCCCCTTCTCCCAGAAATTCTTTAGAAGCCAGGTTAACCATCTCCAGGAACGAAGAGCTCATGAATCTTACATACCTCTGCACAGATCCTCGTTCCTTCTGATAAAATGTTGAGTTTCACCTTTTCCCTCCCTCCTTCTGATTGCTGCTGCTGTTTAGGGCTCCCTCTGCCTGCCTTTCTCTCACCAGGGGCATATGAAGAGGTTGCGTAGCAGCAGTGGGAACAGCTCTCAAGCAAGTGAAGTCTGAACAGACAGTTTTATTTTAGCTCAGGTGTGCGTGTGTGTGTGTGTGTGCGCATGCGGGGGGGGTTATCTGTGACTCAGGTTTGTCTGGCATTCCTATGAGTTATGCACACCTGTATGGGCAAGAACAGCCGGGCAGCCAAGCTTGTACTCCCTTCTCCTTTGCAAACATGTTTAAAAAGACACCCACCCACAGGAAAAGGGTTGACGCTAGAAGCTGAGGCAGAGCCCAACCCACCTGTACTTCTACAACAAAGATTAATTGAAGGGATTATTTGGTCTCCGGGAAAGAAAGAAAATAAAAAACCAACCAGTCTCTAAAGTGCAACAAGATGCTCTGTTGAATAAATCCCGTTCTTCAGGATGGGAGGACACATTGTTTGATTATAGAAAAACCTCTTGCTAGTTTGTTTCTTTTCCAAACCACCCCCTTCCCAGCCCAAGCACTTTCCCTCTTTTTAGATATTTTCCTCCAGACTTCCTAGGCTGTGGAAGCTAAGATAACAGCATATTTGAGCCCAAACAGCCTGCTGAGGAAAAAAGTCACAACATTCCAACTATTTCCTCTGCTGTCAGACAAAAGTTTAATGATCAGCATCCTCTATTTGTGCCTCAGTTAGGAGAAAGAACAATTAAACTTACATAGCTCTGGACTAAGAACCTCTGAGCTAAAAGATACTAACTCCTTAAATTTGACATGACTGCAAATACTAAAATCCTGGCATCCAAAAGCACAATCCTGTTTGTACAAATGGTCACATTGCTCCCAGTGGGGTAGAGCCTCCAGATGACTTGCTCTTCAAGTGATAGTTGCTGCCCCAAGAGATGTATTTAAATGGTGATGGAGCACTAAGAGGTTTTCTTCTATACTATGTATAGGTTAAGCTATACTATGGCCCCGGTCACACAGGCCGGATATGCCGGGGGGGGGAGGCGGGGCTAATTGCCCCGGCGCAGTTTGATGCGTGCTTACGTGATCAGACGTGCCGGCGGCACACCACGGGTCCTTCCCTCGGCACCGGCGGGTAAACGAGGGACCGGAGGGGAATGCTGCGTGCTGGCACAATCACACCACGGGTGTCTGGAGGCAGCCCATGGCAAACGTTTACTAGTACCTTGGAGGTACTAGTTTTTTAAGGTGCATTGTCGGCGGTAAGCCACCAGTGCACTCCACTTCCCAGATGTTGGGGTGTGATCGCGCCCGGATAATCCGCCCACCATCCGTGCCTCTCCCGTGGCAAGTTTGCCGTGTGACCGGGGCCTATGTATAGCTAAGACAGTTTTTAATGTATAAAGATGTATCCATTAGCAGAGAGACTTGTTTGTAATCTTTCCAGTAGTTTCTGTGTTGCCGAAATAATTTCAGAGCACAAAGAATATGCCCACTTGTTTTTTTTAAATCAGTAAGCCTTTACCAAGCTGCATACTTCATGCATTTTTCTACATTTGGGAGCCATACTTATCACAGTTTGCGTAGTTTAGAAGTTCAAGTGTTTGGGTATTTTTTAAATGTAGGATGATTGTAGAGTTTTATTAATTCTAGAGCCAATCTCTGTGAAAATGTAACTTTCTCTTATTAGTGCACAGGTGATTAACAGTACGATCCTGTGAACACTTTCTTAGGAGCAAGCCCTATTGGCTAGACCCGAGCAGGACTTTCTTAGGGTGGCACTGTAAGCAAGCCAAGGATCCACTGGCATTGCTCCCCTCTCCTGCATATATGAAGGGAACACGGTGGCATTCCTAGGCTTTGAGAGAATAAGATTGTTGCCAGATGGAATATGAGGGAATAAGTTACTGCTAAGGCAGGCGTGGTTAAGATGCTGAACTGCAGGCTGTGGAAGGTCGGTAGTTCAGCAGTTCGAGACCCGAGTGTGCCACATGACGGAGTGAGCTCCCGTCTCTAGTTCCAGCTCCTGCTAACCTAGCAGTTCGAAAGCAAGAAATTCCAAGTAGATAAATAGGTACCACTTCGGTGGGAAGGTAACAGCGTTCCGTGAGCCTCGGTGTTTTGTCATGCCGGCCACATGACCATGGAAACGTCTTCGGACAGCGCTAGCTCTTCGGCTTTGAAATGGAGATGAGCACCGCAACCCTAGAGTCGGACTCGACTGGCTTTTGAGCAAGGGACCCTTTACCTTTAAGGCAGGCTGACTAGAAGATGAGGGAGGGGTCAGGGAGATCGCTACTGAGAGACAAGAGATTTCAGTTTCAATATTCTGGACCAATTATCTCAGGGAGTGTGCAAAGCAATGGCAGGGAACAAGCTAGGATGCCCATGTTTGTATGGCACATAAACCCATTGTTAAAACTAACTGTACTTAATAAAGTAAATTCAAAACATGGTTCCACAGCCTTACTTAATTTGAAAAAGTGTGCAGGCACATGAAAGCTCATACCTTGAATAAGCCTTTGTTGGTTTCAAAGGTGCCACTGCACTCTAAATTTGTTTTACCTAAACACAGTTAGTGCCCATGTTCAGGCGATCGTTACCTTAATTAAACCATGTTTTCATGTGACATCTGATATGATACAAAGTATATTATCTGGCAGCTTCATTTCATAGAAGGGAGCCTTTAATTCAGACTTTGTCTGGAACCGTAAGGTGAACTGTCTTCTCCTCCAGTGGACTGGGAGATTACAGTTGAATCTTCCAGACAAATACCCTTTTACAGAACCCCCACACACACCCTTCATGTATCAGAAAACCTACTATTGAGAACAGGAGCACTGTTGTCCTCTTTAATATCACTTTTGAACTGAGACTAGATTATGCTGTAAATTATGGAAAAGAGCAGACCAGACAACCTTAATGGAAATCCACCGTAAAGGTAGAAATAATTAATTCAGAGGTCATAACTTGGCCCTGGGGCTGCTGGCTCCACTGTCTAGCTTTCTGAACTGTGACACTACAGGTTGTTCTAGCATACTCATGCAAAGGGGGAGGCTGTGGTTCTACGGAAAATACTGTCCACACATTAGCTTACTGGAGGTTCCATGCAAATGCTTGTCAGGAGTAACCAGGAACAGGGTGAGAGATTCCTTCAGTGTGCATTGGTATTACTTTTCTTTTTTTTTCTTTCTTTTTTTTTACAATACAAAATCAATATATTTAGTAGGTAACTCTGTCACACCATCTTTTACAGTATTTACATACTCAAAAATACAAACCATTTTTCTACAAAACTTGATGTTTTATGTGGTTGTTCCATTTCTAGGATTTGCATTGCCATTTTATCCATGATTACAATATCCCATAGCTTTGTGAACCATTGTTTTACTGTAGGAACTTTATCTAATTTCCAAACCTGTGCTATTAATGTTTTAGCTGAAATAAGCATTAACGATATTAGTTCTTCGGTTGATTTCGAAAAACGACCTTTATCCCAAAGATTCAACAAAATGGATTCAGGAGTACTTGGCAACTCAATTCCTAATATAGATTCTATTTTTGTGATTACTAAATTCCAAAAACTTTGTATCTTTGGGCAAGACCACCAACAATGAACCGGTCTGGTCACAGCCCTTCCAACATTTAGAGTCTTTTTTAACTTTTGCATGGAACAGCTTCAAAGGGGTTACATACCAACGTGCAAAGAGCTTATAATTCTGTAGCCTATTATTCAATGATTTTGTAGTATACAAATTAGAAGACCAAATCTTATCCCATTGTTCCGGTGTGATGATTCTATTACAATCTTTTTGCCCTGCCAATTGTTGTGTCGAATCCAGTTCCCAATTTTTTTGAGCTAGTTGTTTATATAAAATAGATATTATCCCTTTATGTTCAACTACATCCTTTTCTATAAAAGTGTCAAACTCTGTGAAGGGTCTGTTTGTTTCTTCCACCATATTATTACTTAAAATCATGTTTATTAGTTGCTGATACTGAAACCATTGGACATGTAAATTATATTTTAATTCCAATTGTTGAGCCGTCCAAATCTGGTTTTTATAACAGATATCCTTAACCCTAAATTTGCCTATCTGCCTCCAATTTTGATATCCATTAATATGTTCTCCAGGAGAGAACCATTTCTGTCCCAAAAATGCGGATACTGGTGAAATTCCTGGAGCTATTATATTTCTATTTTTATCCCAAACGTCTAGCGTACTACATAAAAAAGGGTTATCTTTAATAGATGTAGGCCTGTCTTTTGCTTTTGCCCATATAACTTCATGCATATATTTAGGTACCAAATAGGATTTCTCAATTTGTACCCAATCCTTAGTTGTTTTTGGAGGTATTACTTTTCTATGACTTTTACTTACCCAAGCTTGGACTACCCTTGTTGGAAAAGCTGCAGTGGCCTACCGTTTCTGGAGTGCTCATACATTCATAAACGAGATTAGCAAAGTCCCTGTGTGGAAGAGTGATGGTAGTAATGTGCTGCGACAAAGTGGGAGAAGGGATGGAAATCTGCAGCGTTATTTGCACACAGGGAAGAATACTCACGATTGCTATTGGATTCATTTGTAACATATTAATGGGCTCTCGTTCTCTCAGCTGTACCTAGCCCCTGGGCCACTGGTTATTTTTATGGGAGTAATAATAAAAGACCCAACAGCAACTAGCATGAGCAGAGTATCTAGGGCAGTGATGGCGAACCTTTTAGAGACCGAGTGCCCAAACTGCGACCCAAAATCCACTTATTTATCGCAAAGTGCCAACTCGGCAATTTAACCTGAATACTGAGGTTTTACTTTTAAAAAAACAACTCATACATTAACTTAAGATGATCCAAACAAAGTAAGGAAAGCAATCCTAAATGCTTTCATTTACTTAAAATTATTTGGCAGAGAATTCCACATTTTAATGACGGTCTAGGCCTGGCTGGGGCGATGGCATGCGTGCTCACAGAGAGGGCTCTGAGTGCCACCTCTGGCACCCGTGCCATAGGTTCGCCACCACTGATCTAGGGGATATAGGAATCCCTGCTCACATTACCCCAATATATGTTCATACATAGAGACCTTTTTGCATAAGCTCATGCGCATGCACATTGGGAGTGTTTACAAACGCAGACTCCTTGAAGTGCTGTCCATCTGAGCATAAAGCCTTTCCAAAAAATTTAAAGAACAGCTAAAGAGGCAGTTCTGATTCGTTTTAAAGGTGTGAGATGTCTGCAGTTACAATATAAACTTCAGCAAAGTAATCTTGCAAAAAAAATTTTTTTTTACAAGAGGAATGGAAGTGGGGGAAGAAAGAGATCCAAAGCATACCCTTATGAACTTTTCAGCTGGTTTTTATAACTCCTGCATGTCTTTCTCTAAATTTCCACTTTTGTTTTGCTAAGCAGAGGAAAATCAGCTCCCCATTATTATGTTTTAAAAATATTTATGGCTGGATTTCTTCCTTACTTCAAAGCACTATTATACCAGATTTGGGAAAAAAAAAAAAATGAATTCCACCCACCCAATGTTAAGCAATAGTTAAACTAATACAGAGAACTCCGGAGATATCTGGATTGAGGCAGGTCAGCACTGCTGTTGCTACTGGATCTGACAGCAATGTTTGACACAGTCAACCACGATCTTTTGACCCACCACCTCACTGAAACAGGGATTCAAGGAACAGCTTTACAATGCTGTCCCCCTTTCTCCATGGTTGGGGACAGAGGGTGACGCTTGGGGAGAGGATTTCGCCATGTTACCCTATGGTATGTGGCATCCCACAAGGGGTGATCCTCTCCCTGAAGTTATTTAACATCTATATGCGCCCCCTCGCCCAATTTGGGCTGGGTTGTTATCAGAATGCTGATGATACCAAGCTGTATCTGTTAAAGGCCAGCCGGCTGGAATCCACCCTGTATAATCTGGCCAGGGCATTGGAGGCTGTGGCTGAATGGTTACAATAGAGCCATCTGAAACTTAATCCAGCCAAGATGGAGGTCCTGTTCCTAAATTGTGGGAGTATGGGTTTGGGAATCTGACTCCCTACGTTTGAGGGGGTGACACTGAAGTCAGTGCCAACAGTGAGGAATTTGAGAGTGACTCCAGAAGCCTCCCTTTCCATGGAGGCCCAGATCACTAATGTTGCCAGATCAGCCTTTTATAAACTTTGGCTGTCAGGCAACTGGTTCCCTACCTCTCCTCTCATGACTTGGTGACAGTGATTCATGCTATGGTCACTTCCATGCTTGAATACTGCAACTCACTCTACATAGACCTACCCTTAAACTTGACCCAGAAGCTTCAGTTGGCACAAAATGTAGTGGCACACCTGCTGACAGGGACATCCGTGCAGGCATACATTCAGCCAGTGTTGCACCGGTTGAGTACTGAGTCTGGTTTAAGGTTTTGGTATTAACCTTTAAGGCATTATGCGGCCAGGGACCAGCACATCTGTGAGACTGACTCTCTCCATATGTGCCCCAAAGAGCCTTGTGCTCTTCTAACCAACAACATTTGGCAACCTAGCCTAAAACTTACCTTAACCAGGGCCAGAGCTTTTTCAGCCCCAGCCCGGTGGAACATGCTCCCAATTGAGATCAGGAGCATGTGTTGTTAGTAGATATTGAAATTAGTTGACTAAATTTTAATTGTTCAAGCTGATGTTCTAATGAACTGTTTTATTAATGTTTTATTAATTAATGTAAGATTTTATTGTTGGAATATGAGCTGTGGTGGCTCAAGTTGTTAAGACGCTGAACTGCAGGCTGTGTAAGGTCAGTAGTTCAGCAGTTCGAGACCCGGGTGCCACATGATGGAGCGAGCTCCCATCTCTAGTTCCAGCTCCTGCCAACCTAGAAGTTCGAAAGCAAGAAATTGCAAGTAGATAAATAGGTACCACTTTGGTGGGAAGGTAACAGCATTCCGTGCGCCTTGGTGTTTAGTCATGCCAGCCACATTACCACAGAAAGGTCTTCGGACAGCGACTGGCTTTCGAGCAAGGGAACCTTTACCTTTACCTATATGTTGTGAGCTGCCCTGAGCCTGCTTGCAGGGTAGGGTGGGATACAAGTCTCAAAAATAAATAAATAAACTAACAGAAGGAAAAGATTAGGGGATATCTGAAAGGACAATTGAAACGGGGGATTTACAGCCCTTCTATAGCATTGTATGCTAGCACAAAGGTCTAAAGAGAACCTGCTTGATTATTGTCCATTTAGGACCAGAAAGACCCAGAATCAGATCCCCAATTTACCATGAACCTCACTAGCAGTGCCATCCTAAACCGTTACACCAGTAGTATGCAACTATGCTTAGGATTCAACTTTGGTCATCTATCTCCCCTCTTATGGTTTTATGCCTCAAAAAGAGTGAAATGAAAACTCCGTTGGAATGGAGAAAATACCCTCTTACCTCTGGTGTTATAAATTATCCTACACGAAACCTACCATTCTCTTGATTCTATCAAGTTGACTGGGCAATTCACAAAGCTCTAAAGGCAGATAAATACCAGTATTAAGCTTAGCAGCCATTACAGATCAAATAATAGGAAGCACAGAAATAGGAATAAATGGATAGTTCTTACAAGGAAAAAGCAAGCAGTGGGATCCCATAAGGACGGGAGCTGATGGTACTGTTTGATTTGCTCATAAATGATCTGGAACTGGAGATAAGCAGTACAGAGGCCAAATCTGCAGATGAGACCAAATGACTGAGGAGGGTGAAAAACAAAGCAGAGCTTCAACAGGATCTTCACAAGTTGGAAGAGTGGACTGTAAAGTGGCAGATGAAGTTCAGCATAAGTGATGCTGATTGGAGCAAAACAACCTGACTTTAAATATAGACTGATGGGTCTGAACTAGTAGTGACTGAAAAGGAAAGAGATGATGAGGTTGTTCACAATGGTTCACAATGAAAATAGTGACTAAGTGTGTGGACAGCAGTAAAAAAAATGATACACATTAAGGACTACTGAGTAAGGGAATTAAAATAAAAAAGCCAATATTGTAATGCCCCAATATAGATCTATGTTAAACTCATTTGGAATACCATATATGGTTCTGGTAACAATATCTCAAAAAAATATATTGCAAATCTGGAAAAAGTGCAAAAGACGACAACCAAGAGGACTGCAGAGTGGGAGAAAAGTCTGTGGCATTTCTGTTTAGAAAAAAAGATTTCAAGGGTGGGAGAAGTAATGCGACAGAGGTTTATAAAATAATGGATGGTTGCAGAGAAAGTGGTTAAAGGTAAACTTTTTCTCCACCCATACTAGAACTTGGAGACACCCAATGAAATTGATGGGCAATGGATTCAGGGCAGACAAAATGAAGTCTTTTTTCACCCAGTAATTCAACTGTGAAATTAACTGTCAGTAGATGTAGTGATGGCTACAAGCAGGGCTCATTTCGAGCCGGAGCGGGCCGGAGCAGCGCTCCAGCAGTGATGGAAGGTGCCCCCCCACCCCTGCTCAGGTCACCCAGGCCCATCCGGTGTAGCTCTAGGCTTCTACTCATGTACAAGCAAGCAACGATATCATGATTCGGTTTTTGGAAGATGCAGTCCTGGTCTCGTCTGGCCCCACCCCTTTCCGAGCGGCCCCTCGACTTGCTGCAGGAAGCAGAGGGGTGTTGGAATTGCAAGTTGCTTACACTTCAGTCATTACAGAGTTAAATGTTGTTTGTTAGCAAACAGGATGTTACGTTACATAATGTATTCAATGGCGGGAAAGTTTGTGGGAGTTGTTTATCCTAATGAAGTGACCTGTAACCTTTGTATTGGTCAACCAACAACTTGTTTGTAGAAATGCTTTGATCTAGCATTAATGTATTCACAAGGTTTATGGCTCTTTGTGTGAACCAAAGAGGAAGTTCTCTTCTCGAAGCCAAGACAGATAGAAAGATGTAGCTGTTAGCATTTATTACTGAGAGTAACTAAGTATGTAACCTTTTAATTTTATTTCTGTTATCCAAAGTACCATACCCATGTTTTATTTTGTTTTACAGTAAAGATATTTTTTCTTTTACTAAGTGTATGCTCTTGTGTTTGCCAATACAACCATCGACCCTGAATCAAAGAATCCCAACAAAGACAAAGTTTTAAAGTTCTGTTTTTATAATAACTGTAACCAATGGTTGCTACCATGCTTACCGACATCGAAAGTGCACAGAGTCCCCTCATAACATGGTACTCAGTATGGAAATGCTCTTTGCTGCTTCCTTCTTTCACAAGCACCCTCCCACCAGCATAGCTAGAATCTGCACAATGATTCCCAAAAACTAGACACAGTCTTCAGTGTTGATTTTCACTGTCTGATGTCTCAAACTTCAAAGCTTTCAAACTGCCTGATCGCTGAAAGCAGAACAAAATGAGTTTACACAGGGACATGTGTAAATCTCTATAATAATCTGCATGAAAACAAATCTCTGAATTATATTACTAATGGTTGTGCTCAAGGAAGTCATTCTTGTCTATAATTTCCTGGGGGCAGAGAGCTCAAGATATTCAGGTAGTTGAAATTAACTCACTCATCAATGGTATGGGATGCAACTGATTGATTTCAGTATAGCTGATACCCATGTTTCTCTTTCCAGCTCTAATTTCATAGAATTTAAGGATCCTGTTAAAGTAACTTATTAAGCTCATATTTACATGCTAACATTCCATTTCATGCAATACAGTGCAGAGGTTCTCTATCAACAAAGATGACGAGCCTCACGAACAAATATGTACAACTGCAAAGACAACTATTACTCCCTTCTTGTTCAAGAATGACATGTCCATTTAAAATAGTCTTTTTGCTGCAGGAGAAGTATCCTTCCTTTGCATCCAAAGGTGGTGCTTTTGGCATTATTCAGTCTGAGCATGACTTCAGGAAGTTTTGCACTGCACTTGTCACTGCTTTGCCTTTTTCACAATGGTGCCAACTGCAGAGATCACTGTTGTTTTGGAGCCGCTTGCACTTGTGGTCACTGTGACGACAGCTGGCAGTGTTGCAGTGGTAGTAAGAATGGTGGGCTGAGCTATTGTCGTCACAGGAATGGCAGAATCCCACTTGCTTTTCCTCTTCTGGGCATCTGTACATTTAGCAGACAAACATTAATATCAGCATCTCTTGTCCAATGAGAACCATTCTCTCACTGGTTCTTGAAGAGCTGCCCCTAAAATGAAGAGGTCTCACTCATCACTACTAAATTAGAGCCAACCCACATGTTGCAAAAAAGGATGTGGCATAGCCCTACTGGAATTGTTCTGCTTCAGAATGCAAGTAGGGGAATACATATATTTGCACAATTCCCCTGGTATGTCAGGGGGAGAGGGTTCTAAATCTAGCCCTTTCCCTGACATGGTATTGCCCTCTCCTCAAGGAATATTTTATGTGGAGTGACCATTCAAACATGCAATTTCCCCAAACTGTACTTTGAAGTTTTATCAGGCACAGAAAGGCTGCAGATCAATTAGAACATAGTTTATCATTGCTGAAAACTGCACAAGAATTGCACAATTTGCTATCCATCACTAAATAAGCTTATCTGCAAATGAACCCAACTAAAGTACTACCCCCTGCACTATTGGCAATTACTGCTTGGAAGCACTTCGGGTAGACCAGTCCTAGGCCAATTTTATATGCTGCTGGAATTCCAAA